CCGATGCGGGACTCGATCCATGGACTCCAGGATCATGACCTGAGCCGAAGGCAGTCGCTTAACCAACTGTGTCTCAGCACTAATCTTAAGTTCACTCATTCAAAAGGGAAGATTCTTGGACAATATAAAGGAGCAACCAACCAATGATTCCACCTCCCACCCCGTGATCTGTAACAGGGGTTATTAATTCAAATAGCTAGAGGGGCGGGGCAGGTGCTATAAATTAGCGGCCAGTGGGGAGGCTAGCTCAGCAGAGGAAGGCCTTTTTAAGGCCACATAGGCGTAGTGTGGTTGGAGCTCCAGATTCTTCTGAAAAACCGGAAGTTTGGATTTCTGATGTTAAGTCTGTCCATTTAAAAATATCAATGGGCGCCTGGGGGGCTGGGTCTGTTAAGTGGCTGCCTGCGGCTGGGAATCGCTGCTCAGCGGGGAGTCGGCTTCTCCCTCCCCCTATGTCCCTCCCCCGGTTTGTGCGCTCTTGCTCTCAAATAAAATATTTAAAATAATACAAATAAAAGATAAAAATATCGGTATTTAAATTATTGTATTGAAATAGCATGAGCAGGTAAAACAGAGCTCTGGCTGTGGGCCAGGAGTTTTTTAACCTCTGGTCCACAGGTTAGCTTTTCTGGACCATTCATGGCCGCTTCCAGCTGCAGCGGGCGGGCACTAACATGGTTTGGATCCGGGTGGGTCCCAACCGTCACTGGGGTCCGGGACAGGATCCGGGTCGGCTCCTCCTGCTTAAACTCTATGGGCCACGGAGCTGGGAGTAGTGTACGCCCTCAACTGGGAATTCTACGTCTCCAAAGGCGTGACGCTGGGAGAGGGGTGGGACCAGAGAGGCGAAAGAGAGGCTAGCCAGAGCCACCCAGTGAGTGCGAGGGGCGAGGGAGTTGGAATTCAGGCCTCCTCCTTCCATTTTGAATTCTTTCCCCTCAGGACTGGGAAATGTTACTCCAGAGACGCGATCACCGGCCGGTGGCCGAGGTCGTTATAGTCTTCGTCTGTCCAACCCGCGCGGAAGGCCCGCAAAAACTACGAGTTCCAGCATGCCTAGCTACGCACACGACCTTCGTGCTGCCCTGAATCAAACTACCCTTCTGTTCCTCATTGGCTCACAAGCCTAACGTGCTGTTCCATGATTGGTTGCGGCTCTTGTCGCTCCTAGGAACCCCTTGCTGAGGCTGGCCGACAGTTTCCTCGAAGCCGCCAAGGAGATGGAACAGCACTTGACCAGGCTGGAGGGCTGCTCAGTAAATAAAGCCGCCTTCCTTTCGGCTGCGAGGCTTTGCTTTTTTAACTTCCCGGTGACACTGGGGTTGAAGGGTTTCCGGCCGGAGGACATTAGATGGGACATCCGGAAGGCGGAAGTCCTAGGGCGGAAGTGGCCGAGAGGAACGGAGAATGGCGGCCGAAGGCTGGATTTGGCGCTGGGGCTGGGGCCGGCGGTGCCCGGGGAGGCCTGGGCTTCCCGGCCCCGGCCCTGGCCCCACTGCACCTCTACTTCTTTTCCTGTTGTTGGGGCCGGTTGTTGCGGATATAACTGACGGCAACAGTGAACACCTCAAGCGGGAGCATTCGCTTATCAAGCCTTACCAAGGTGAGGCCTGGGGCGGGAATGAGTGCAGGGTGAGGGCGAGGCTGGACAGGGTTGGGTGAAGGGGTTTCCTTTCTCCCGAGCAAAGCAGCTTTGTGGGTTTCCTGCCTCTGGCAAGGCCAGTCCTGGCATGGCCTCTTACGTATCTGTCTACGCCCATCTCTGCCCACAGGGGTCGGTTCCAGCTCCATGCCCCTCTGGGACTTCCAAGGCAGCACTATACTCACGAGCCAGTACGTGCGTTTGACCCCTGATGAGCGCAGCAAAGAGGGCTCTATCTGGAACCACCAGGTGAGTGGCTCCCAGGACGCTAGGTATACCCTTAAGTAAGCCACTACTCCCAGTCTCCGCAGCACCACAGACCTGCGCTTGGTTTGAAGGCTTGCACCCCCCACCACCCAAGGTTTCCTCATCTTGGTAGCACTCACCAGTGACTATTGAAGTTACCAGGAATGATTATTGAAGTTACTGTGTGTCAGGAGCTGTGCCTGTCACTTCACACCTTTCTCATTTAGTTTCTTTGAAAGCCATGTGAAGTAAGTGATGTTATCTCCATTTTACTGACAAAGCTAAAGCTCAGTTGAAAGTGCCTTACTCAAAGTCGCATAGCTACTAAGCATTGGAGCTCTCAGGCTGTCTGAATTCAACTCTGTCAATAGTGGGATAAATGGGACAGATGGAATCTTTATTGGGTATTTTGTGTGTGTTAGGCACTGAACTTAAAATGCCTTATTGCATTTAATTCTCAAACAGGCTGTTTGAAGTTGATGACTGTCATGGCTTTATGCAGAGCTAACACAGTGAATGGTATAATCAGCATTTAAATTCTGATCTGTCTGATACCTAAGCCCAGCAATTCACTTGCTACACATGACCCCTTCCCTCCCTCTGGACAGTGGAGGAATCCCTTAGAAATACTTGCAGAGGGGGCGCCTGGGTTGCTCAGTCGTTGGGCGTCTACCTTCGGCTTGGGTCATGATCCCAGGGTCCTGGGATAGAGCCCTGTGTCGGGCTCCCTGCTCTGCGGGAAGCCTGCTTCTCCCTCTCCCACTCCCCTTGCTTGTGTTCCCTCTCTCGCTGTGTCTCTCTGTCAAATAAATAAAATCTTTAGGAAAAAAAAAAAAGAAATACTTGCAGACTTAGTCCACTTCCTCAGTGCTTCATGGAGGGTCTTGTCATCAGTGGTATAGAGGAGCTGGACTTGTGGGCAGTTTTAATTTTTGTGATCTTTACTCCAGAGGTTAGGGAACCTCAAGTGTCAGTGGCATGTCATACATGACCAGTGGCCAAGATAAGTTGCTACACAGACTCTACACTGAGAAAGTCTAGGTTAGGAAAGGGGACTAATTTGGGGCTGGGTCACAGGTAGGAAGCTGCTCCTACCTCAACCTGCCTGATTGTAGTTATTCCCGTAGGCCTAAGCTGTTGACCATTGTCCTACTTTTCTCCATCACCCTGTTCTTTGGTCCATTCTGGATGGCTTCCCCATTTAGTTCTGGGAGCCCACACTGTCCTTGTGTTGCCTCAGCTGCCTGTCCCTTCTGCTCCTCCTCCTTTCTGCTAGGGGCTTCTGGGTTACTTTCTTCAGCTTTCACTCTTATCCTCAGAGCCTGGGGTCTCCTGCGAAGGGGATAAACAAGCATTATGTCTACACAGTCTGGCTCCTGGTGCTTGGCATCTCCATGTATACTGGTTATTTTGTTCCAGCTCTCTGGCTGCCTTCTTGTCTCAGGACCTTTGCACTTGTTGTTCCCTCTCTCTGGGACACTGCCTCCTGGCTCTTCATGCCTGCTTGCTTCTTTCTCATCTGATATATCTCAGCTTGAGTGCCACCCACTCAGTATTTCATTAACTACTTTCTCTCCCCCGCGTCACATACTGTCACGTTATTCTGTCTGGGGCTTTCAGGTAATTTTTAAAAATTATAATGTAGGATTACATTTTTTATGGAAGTGAGTTCAGTATGTCATTAATTTTTTAATTTTTTAAGTAAGGTACAAATAGTTCTGGAACTTTTAGAAATTCGTTCAATTACAAGTAACTTAATTATGGTTGTGGGTAACTGTTGGTTGGCATTGTCAGTGGTGTGGTGATGTCACAAGGCTGAGAGAATTCTGCACTTAACCTTCATCACATTTTCAGTCTGGACTCTAATTCTCTTCCTTCCCCCACATCTCCATTCACTTCTGGGGATTTTCCTCTTTGGCCCTGCAGATATTCTTGAAAGGGTTGGAGTGTTTCCTGTAATTCTTGAAAGAAATTGCTTGGAACTCTTAGAATTTTCTGCTTATTGTTTCCCAAGAACCATCTCTTCCTTTACTTGACTGGAGAGGTGCTTTCTGAACTTTTCTTTGTCCTCACTTCTGGGAGGGGCACTGAATTAGCAGATACTCCTAAGCACCTGCTATTGTCCAAGCAGAGAAGACATAGCTTCTGCTGTTTTGGGGTAGAATGGTTCAGACCAAGGAGTGGCCCCAAGGTGACTGGAACTCCCAAGAGTCCAGTGGCTGGAGCACAGGACAGAGGGAAGCCCATGGGGCTGATTGGGCCCCCGCCTTGAGCCTTGTGTGGAGGCTGCAGGGTGAAATTTAAGCTTTTTTGGCTGATGTACTGTCTGAAAGTACATACCCTCTTGCACTTTTTAAAAGTTGGTATCCAGAATTGCTTTTCTTAAAGGATGTAGTTTCCAGCATATTTTAAATATTGCCATTTTATTTGTTTGTTTATTTATTTAAGATTTTATTTATTTGACAAAGACAGCGAGAGAGGGAACACAAACAGGGGGAGTGGGAGAGGGAGAAGCAGGCTTCCTGCCTAGCAGGAAGCCCGATGCGGGGCTCAATCCCAGGAGGCTGGGATCATGACCTGAGCCGAAGGCAGACGCTTAACGCCTGAGCCCCCCAGGCGCCCCCATTTTATTATTTTTTTAAGATTTTGTGTACGTAACTGTATTGAGGGAGAGCGCATGCGCCCCGGTGGGGGGAGGGGCAGAGGGGGAGGGGAGAATCTTCCTCGGACTCCGAGCTGAGCAAACTGAGAACTGAGCGGGGGAGTGAGACCTCGAGATCGTGACCTGAGCTGAGAGCCGAAATCAAGAGTCAGACTCTCAACTGACGGAGCCACCCAGGCGCCCCTAAATCTTAAAATGAAATTGTTCAGGGGCGCCTGGGTGGCTCAGTCGTTGGGTGTCTGCCTTCGGCTCAGGTCATGATCCCGGAGTCTTGGGATCGAGCTCCACATCAGGCTCCTTGCTCAGCGGGGAGTCTGCTTCTCCCTCTTCCACTCCGCCTACTTGTGTTCCCTCTTTCGCTGTGCCTCTCTCTGTCAAAATCTTTTAAAAAAAATTTAAAAAAATGAAACTGTTCAGTACTCTTAAGTGTATTCAGTGGAATCTAAATATTTCAATTTGCTATCCACTGTATGTTTTAAACACTGTGAATCAGCCCAAATTATACATCAGGTTTTTTTTTTTGAATTTGTATTTTCATTTCATCCCACCCAGAATTTTGTTCTATGCAGTGTATTTAGTGCTTGAAAATCTCTTACTGAATAACTTGTCCCATTCCTCTGCAACTAAAAAAATGTGATAATTTAAACCTTTTAACTTTTTTGGGACCTTGAAACTAAGTTTTAATATTTTGGGGTAATATTATAATTATTAATACACAGTTGGTCAAAATAAATGCATTACACAATTTTTTGATAATTATTGTAAAAGTAAAAATTTATTGAATGCATCCCACTAAACTGTTGTCCCTCCATCCCTGTCTGGATGGATATTGTCAGAATAAGACAGGCCTCAGCACCACTTCTGCTTTTTGTTTTTATAGATGTGAATGCTCAGAATCTGTGTTCACTTAGATAGTAATGGAGATGCAGGGAGTTTTGTTATAGCAGAGTTACTCAATATTTTAAACTTCTTTAGGTTTACAAACCCCAAATCATGTGGTGATCTTTCATCAACATGTGTCATGATGTATGAGCTGACTATTGGATTAGCTCTGCCTTTCCATGCAAAGACATGGAAACCACAAACTGTAAAAATGCTCTATGATTGCCAGGTGATTCTGATTTAGTTGGCCCCAGGGAGGGCCAGGGCGTTAAGATTGCTGAGCTCCCCAGTTGGCTCAGCTTTGCAGCGAGGGTGGAAAACCATGGCTGTGTCACGTTCTGTCTCCAAAAGCAGCTTCTAAATCCGTTCCAGCTGGTACCTCACCTGCACCTGCTTAAAATCCTTCAGAGGATTTATATTGTCTCTATCTTGGTATTTCCCTCCACTGATCTGCAGTCTTCAATCTGCCGTACGCAGAGACTTTCTAAGGCCTGGATAGTCCTGTAGGAATCAGTTTCCAGGTTTCAGCTTCTTTGTGTACCCTTTCCAGAAACTCCTCTCCCTATGAACCATACCAGGGGCAGGAGAGTAGGTGTTCCTTTCTCATCTCCCTGTTCACAGTTGCCCTTCTGCTTGGAGGCACCCCTTGAACCAGCTTGGGGTCTTAGCTCAGTGCATTGTTCCCAGGTGCAGAAAACTCCTGGGCACCAAAGAGACCATTTGGAATCTGGTTTCTGGGCTTTTATAGAGGTGAGATATATTTAACTTTTTTTTCAAACATGAAGGCTTTTCTAGTTATGAAAAAATTAAGTTGTCGGGGCACCTGGGTGGCTCAGTTGTTAAGCATCTGCCTTCGGCTCAGGTCATGGTCCCAGGGTCCTGGGATCAAGCCCCGCGTCGGGCTCCCTG